CTCTCTCTCTCTCTCTCTCTCTCTCTCTCTCTCTCTCTCTCTCTGCCGCACTCTCTATAGATTTGATCTCTCGATTTTACATATCGTCAGCTAGTTCCAAGAACTGGCATCGTTTAATTGTCAAGGAGATCAAGTTAATGTGCGAGAGGAGTTGGAATAGAAGATAGTACTAAAGATTAATCGAGGTGCAGGCAACGAGGTCACCAAAATTGTTCCTTATTCCCAGTGCCGTCACATTTGGTAATATATTTTCAACTTGGCACCCACTTCCTTTCCTTTCCGCTCTTCTTGCCTTGATTTTCTCTTCCCTTCCTATTCCTTCACCCGACGAGGACGACGAGGACGACGAGGACGACGAGGACGACGGCGAAGATCGCGCCGGCGGCGGATGGACCCACTTGACTCGAGTTCGTTAATTCAATAATAAAGTTATCAATTATGTTCCTGCCTATTTAATTTCTCACCTTGCTGTGGCACTGCTTGACACCTTACGGTGTAGGCGCCACTGATAACTCTGGAAACACTAATTTTCCATTAAATAAGCATTTATTCGAAGTTTGGAGGAATACCGGCGGTCGACTTACGAGTCAGCTCAGGTCTGCCGCTCTACGAGAGAAATATCGTAGAGACCGAGGCTCCTGACGGATATTATTGTAAGCCCCTATAGCCAGTGGATGAAAGGCGAAAAGCGAAAAGCGAAAAGCGAAAAGCGATGCGCCGTCACCTCTCTGCCAATGGATACGCGTTCTCTGCGAATGAAAGGGGTTAACTGGTACTCTCACTCTCTCTCTCTCTCTCTCTCCCTCCCTCCCTCCCTGCCCGCCTGTCAGGCTCTCACTCTCACTCTCACTTTCGTTCCTTTCCGAACCCTTGTCGTTCCCAATGAATAGCCCCTCTCGACACTCGGTTGGCTCTTCGGATGCATTCTTTACTCTCAAACACGGCGACCTCGCAAGTCCATTGTCTAGCTCGCGGTGAGGTAAAAAGTTTTTCAAAGCGTGTCCTCGTGATACCAGCCTTGCTCACCCATGACCGCAGAATCGCAGCGAAGCCTCGCGTATCGCGATATCGGCTTTAAATCTCCGCAGACGGCTGCAACTTTGCAAATTTATCTGCCATTTAATTCGGTTTTGAACTTTGGCAGTTAGATTAGACAATAGTGCGGACGCGAAATCTAATGCGCGGGATTTCATTTCCTCGAGTCCTCGCTCCACTGTCCACCCCCGGCACGTTTGCACTTGATAAAGTAGAAAGCACGCCGATCTTTCAGGTGTTCGTAGGAAGCAAGATATTCGGATACACGTGCTGCAGGACGATTCTTTCGGCGAACCTTGATTGAGTCCTCTCTGCAACTCCGTAGCAGTTGCAGACCGTCTCGGTAACTGTTAATCGACAATTCGTCGCTCAAATCAAATCCAATTCACGATACTCTACGAATACAGCTCGCCTGCCATTGCCATAGTGCCGTCAATTTGGGGAGGAGCATCGTTCGAAAGGTCGGACGTGATTCGCGTGTCTGTTCCAATATCGATATACCGAATTCGTATTAATTACTAAACAATGTTACGTCGACATTAGCGCGCTTAAGAGGATTTGTTTAGCCCCCTCGCGTGCCGAACGTTGCCGAACGTTGCCGAACGTTGCCGAACGTTGCCGAACGTTGCCGAACGTTGCCGAACGTTGCCAATCGAACAAAACCTTTGCGACTCGTTCCATTGACCAATTTCAATCTACTATCCCTCCCAATCCCTCCCCGATCCTTTGCCAGACTTCTCTTAACCTTTCCTTGGCATGACTTGGCTTTCTACGTAGCCACCTAGCCGCATAACCACCTAACCGCGTAACCGCCTAACCGCCTAACCGCCTAACCACCTAACCCCCTAACCCGCCTAACCCGCCTAACCATCTAACCGCCCAACCGCCTAACCACCTTGTTCGCAATCGAACGAGTCGATCGTGTTCACTGTATTCGTTTTTCGTTTCGCTCTACCAGAAGAGTGGAGCTCATCCAGAAAGACTGAAGGGTGAAGAAGAACGAAGAAGAACGAAGAAGAACGGTGTGTCTGGGGGGTAAAATCGGATCACGCTATTATCTGCGCGGCGGGTCCCTTACTCCCTTTCAGGATTCGTAATCTATTGCGAAATAATCATTTATCCCAAGGAGACTTTTGTCGACGTCACCTAGCTCCATGAGCGTCCCGTTCGTCCGCACCTCCTCGCTAACCCTCACACCACCCTCTGTGCCGGATATTCTCTCAGATGCTGCCTCATTATTTTTAACTGATGACGCCATAATTCAGCTTCTTGAGACGTCAAGGAAAATGGATCAGCCGTCCAGCGAGAATTCACTTCGCTCAATTAAACGTTCGATCAGCGATATTGCATACCTATGTAGCTGAATCGGATGCATAGAAATCCGAAAGAGCGCCGGCTGAACTCAGCGAGACATCTTGAAATGTTCACAGGTCTCCGGTCATCTCCACAACACTGGCCAATTGTTGGTATTTCGGGCCGACAGAGAGGGCAAGACACGAGTCAATATCACCGGCGGTCCACTCGCATATCACTATCAGTTTGAGGAAATTTACATTCACTACGGTTTGCAGAATGGTCACGGTTCCGAGCATCGTGTCAACAATTACGCCTTTCCTGCCGAGGTAACAAAGCACTCTTCTTCTTCTTCTTCTTCTTCTTCTTCTTCTTCTTCTTCCACTCTCATCTACCTGTACGTGTAGCCTAAATTTAGCTGTCCTAATATTATTATTATAAAATAAACATGTCTCTAGAATCACATTGGGCCGATCTTCGAACTTGGTCGCCTGCGCTCTCACGAAATCATTTAAATTCGCTGCAATTAAAAAATTTTGCATTCTTTATAAACGTCATCGGTAGGATTGTCCGTTCGCCGAGAAATTAATGGCGTATTCAATTTAATCGATGACGTATTCCCTTTCACGCCTGTAGCTTAAGCGAGCTGGAATGAGTTCTATAGCTACATGTATATACAAATACATATATGTATATAGACGGACATGGAACATTCTGCTGCGTACGACAGAGCAATAACAGTGTAGCCAGTGAGCAGTGAGCAGGCGCGATGCACAATATACATATACACATGGAAAGAGAGAAAGAGAGAGAGAGAGAGAGAGAGAGAGAGAGAGAGAGAGAGAGAGAGAGAGAGAGAGAGAGAGCGCATTGCGTATAGTTCGGATCAGACGAGACGGTGCTGAATGAGGAGAGACGGGGGAGAACACAGGACACGAGGGATTCCCCTAAGCAGTTACAAGAGACTAGAAGAGAGGTGGGACGGGGGCTTGGATTGGATTAGAAGGGCCTGGAAGGGCCTGGAAGGGGCTTGGCAAAGGGCTAGAGACACTCCAGAGAGAATCTGACCCATTAACGGCGTGTTTGAGCGACGGGCCGCTTTGATGCCGAAGCCTACTCGACGACCAGGTGATGGAGTACCGGTACTAGAAGAGGTGCTCCACCGCTCCACCGCTCCACCGCTCCACCCTTTCACCCTTGTCTTTAGGTGTACACATGCACGAGCATCTTGGCGCAGGCACATATATACGTTTCAATACCCATCCCAACTGACGGACGCGCGTTTTGCCCAGATTCTCGGCATACTCCTTCCCGGCCAGCCATTCACCCATGTAACCCATAGTCCATCTCTTCTCCTTCCTTCTCTCCTCTTTATTCCCCACGGGAAAAATGCGAAGAGGCCCGACTGTCGGATCGATTTCCCGCTTTTCACTGAATACACACTGGACACTCTTCATCCTGCCGAGGATCCTTCCGTGGCTTTGGCCGTGGTCCTAGAAGAAGCTGGGCAAATAGGACGGGACACAAGACCCCCTCGGCTATTCGCTTTATGCCTTTACGAGATCCCTTCCGACTGTCGTGCCTCCTTCTGACATGCCTATTACTTAACACGTCGGGAACTTTATTATTCGGCTCCATCAGGTTCTCCTTCGTGCGAGAAGTGCACTGGGCTTCTCGAGCGTCGTCCAGTTAAAGTTCGTTGGGACGACGTTACTATAGAATTGTTACTTGGACGTATGCATATATCGAGGGTCAGACACGGTGCGGCAGTGAGGATTACTGCCTGAAGGAGGATCGACGTTAGACACTAAAATGTTTGTCATACTTTGGAAGGCTGCGACGTGGCTTTACGCTAATGGTCAAACAGTCCGTCTTGCTGATATACTATTGCAATTATTATGAGGGCTAAAGTGGATGCGATTGACAAGCGTAATTGGCTCAACTTGGCTGAGTGGCGACCACCGCGACCACCGCGACCAGCGGGACCAGCGGGACCAGCGGGACCAGCGGGACGCTCGAACGATTCTCCAAGTTTCAGAATTGTTTTGCCGTTCTAATTCCAATCGCTGCATGAGGCAATAGCCTTTTGCTACCAGAAAAAGGAAAAATTTTAATCCGGAGCTCGGGATTTCAGTGAGTTTTTCGGCAGTCGTAGACTTTGGAAATTCATTTAATTAATTCAGAATTCATCCAACACGGGCTAAATACAGCGGGGCGAGGAGCTAAAATACAGCGTGCCGGAGGACCGTAATTGTAGTGGTCGTTTATAGTTGAACGACCATCGTCGAGCCGCGATTTTCTGTCTCTCGTATGCGGAGTGGCTCTTGATGCTGGCTGGCAGCACCCGCCAGAGCCACGTACGAGTCCCACAAAGTCTTCTCCTCTTTTCCCTCATATTCTTTATCCACGCACCAAGAGGATACCTCATCCGCAATCGGACTCCTCCCTAGTCACTAGATCTCGAACCATTCCTGAGAGCAGGTGGTAGCGTGTCGTCCGCAGGCTAATTCTAGTTGGCAGTTAGCACTAGAGGTACTGCTGCTGGTATTACAGCCATACATCTGTCATGGTAGAATGCCGTATTGTGCCAGAAATCGTGATGGCATGCCCATGTGCCATGCTAACGCCACGAACAAGCCTCCGCAATGTGCCAATTACGTTTGATACGGATCGTTTTGTGCCACCCATTACCTTCCGATTCAGCTCCCAATTCAGCTGTAGCTCCCGTCCCGGTACTCGTCCACCTCTTTCGACTCCTCCTCCTTCTTTTTCTTCTTCTTCTTCTCTCCTCCTCCTCCTCCTCTCTCCTAACACCCCCAGCGTTGTCATGGATGCAGTTACCTACTTTCGATACTTTGACCGACACTTGGATGGACTTGCAGATTTATCGATCGTGTCGCTGTTGGGGGCCACGTTTCCTGGGCACAGATAGGACCCAGTGTCCGTCTCAAACTGCCAACTTACGAATTTCGATGGGGCCTATTCTTCGGCCTCAATAAACCGCACTTGCTTGTATTTATTTGGTTTCTGAGAGCGACACGCGATATATTCTTACATCTTAAGTTGATATACAGTACAATTAAGATGAATTTTATAGATTCAAGTTTACGGATTCAACGCAGAGCTGTATCACAACATGAGCGAGGCACAACACAAAAGCCAAGGACTGGTCGCCATTTCACTGATGGTCCAGGTTAGTCAAGCTTACAAAATATAATCTTTTCGTTAACGCGAGTCACTGACCATGCGAGTATATTCCGTATCTCTCCTTCTCTCCTTCTCTCCTTCTCTCCTTCTCTCCTGCACTCGAGATCCTGGCCTACCTGTACTTCCTCATCTTGAGCCTTTACCAGCACAATCTCGTGCGATCTAGTGCTACTCCAACGCAGGCTAAGCAATCGCGTTACCTCGGGCCCTAATCAGTTTCCTCCGTCGCCTAAATTGACAATTATGCCAGCGGTTGAGTTTCTCTCGGATGTGCTCGCTCCTGCACCCAATTACAATAATCTCGAGTGGGAAAATAAGTGAGCAGAAAAGAGGGGAATTACGACGCGACGGTCAGTATTATAGATAGACTTTGATAACATGCCTGCTGTTATCACGAGGTCACAGACGACACAGGTGCGAAGATCTTGATGAATATCAACGATAATCAATAGCTGTAGCCACATAACTGATTGCGAATAATTATATGGCAAGTGCGGAAAAGTTGGCGGAAGGGAAAATACGTGCTAGTTTTCTCACCGTCTTCGCGAAAGGACTTTTCGAATAGATTCGCTAGTTTCGAAGAAACTCCGGCGAAGCACGAGCCACCGGGAAACTCGCGGGCGTCGCGTCGCCGGCACGGGAGATGTCATGTACTTTGACGCAGCTTGCAGCCAAACAAACGGCTGTGCAAACTTTGGAATATTTGCGAAGGTGTTTGCGGGGCTCGAGGCTGAAGAGTCTTCAGAGCCTCGAGGACGATGAACGATGACAGCAATAACGATAATGGCGTCTTCGTCTCGCTCCACGGCACCAAGGTAGAAACAAAGTGGTGCCTCTCTGGATTCTTCGGGATGGCACGAGGTGGTGCAGTCTCTCTGTTTCAGGGCCACCCGGTACACCGGGCCAGGACAGGCCCGTTCGGTCGTTCGCGCTTTTAATACGCGGCACGCCCCGTCAGTCGGTGCGCTTTTTCTCTCTCTCCTTTCTCTCCCTCTCTTTTGCTCTCCGAGAGCGTGGCCTGACGCCCCATTCATATTCCGAATGAAGGACACTCGAGACGGTGGCTGCACGGCGAACACTTAACGGGTACTCGATCTTCTAATGAACGGATCGGAGAGCGCAAGGGAGATCTAAAAACGGAGGAAAGGGATAGCGAGAGCAAGAGAGAGAGAGAGAGAGTGGGGGGGG